AACAAATTCCTCTCCAGGAGAGAGTTGTGCCTACTTAGTTCTCTCCTAAAAGGACTGCAGCCTGGATTTGTCTCTCCATTGCCCACTTCCATGTTTCCTCCCCCAGTTATTTTGGAGGCCCCGGGGACCGAGTGGGTGACCCAGCTGAGACCGGAGTTCTGGCAGGGCCAGGGTGGGTGTTATTCTCCAAATAATTCACCACTTGAGCACTTGCTCCAGACACTGGGTTCCCCAGGGACCTCTTGCTCTGTGACACGCGTGACAGCATGGCCTCTTTGTCTTCCCAGGGCATCATCGAGCAGAAAGGGACAGGCAGAGGAGGGGACAAGAGAGAAGGTAAGGAGGCCTTGCCCATCCACTGCCTCCACCTCACTCCCTCCTGTTGGGGTCCCTTGAATCCCTAGCGCATTAACCTGAAAGAGGGAGAGGGACTCAGACCTTGAGAACAGGGTTGGGCTGGGGCCTAGGGAGGGGACATTCCTGTTCTGGGTCACACCAAGGGCCGTGGGCACCGGGCTGGGACCCAGAGGGCTCTCAAAGTCCCCCGGCTTGGTGAAAACAGGAGCACCTCAACTGAGCACCCGGTGGTGAGGTGCAGTTCCACCTGGATTGGTCAGCTTTTCCTGCCTGGGACCACATACATGACACAGCATGTGGGGGAAAATTTGATTTTGACTCAGAGTTTCAGCCCATGGTTCGAAGGCTCCAATGGGCACAAAGAGTGGTGGATAAAGAGAGTTGCTCAATCCCTGGTGGCCAGGAGACAGTGAGAGGAGGAAGAGTCTGAGGAGACACCCCCTTCACAGGCCATCCCCAGTGACCTACTTCCTCCCTTGGCCCCACCTCCACCAGCTCAGGCAGCTGTGAGGTCAGCGCGCTGCAGGATCTCACCACCTTCGAAACCCCCGCCTCTCTTTGGGAGATGGTGTTTTTTTGTTTGTTTGGTTTTTGGTACCGGGGATTGAACTCGGGTCCTCGCGCTTGCGAAGCAGGCAGCGAAACCACTGAGCTAAATCCCTGGCCCCTGGGAGATGGTTTTGACTTCAACCCTAACACTGCCCTTCTTCCCAAAGCTGTGGCCGAAGCAGCCAGGGAACCAGTTCTATTTTAGGGTTGTGTAAAAATTAAATGATGTTTCTCTCCTGGCCCAGGCCCCTGGGCTGTGAGAACCAGGCTTGGAAACTTCTATGGAATTTCAGGGTGGAGATAACTGAACACCCCTGCTCTAATTAGCTGCTAGGAATCAGGAATGTATTTGATCTTGAGAGGTCACACTTTTCTCCTTGGTCACAGTGGCTGGAGTGATGAAAACTAATACAACATTTAAGCAGTGCTTTGCAATTTGTAAAGCACTTTCCATTTCAACATCATTGTTCTTTCCTCATAACAAACTCATTGAGTGTAGTGGTTAGGGTCCTCGAGAAGAATACAGTCAATAGGGACATATATTATGAATATTTTTATAAATATATGTAAGATTATGCCAGGGAATTTATGACCCGGGCTGACAGACCAGGCCAGGGCAGCCTACAGAGGCTGGCTGCACCCTGCACAGCCAGGGGATCCAGCAGCTGCTCTGTCCCAGAAGCTGGAAGCCCCAGAAGAGGAGAGATGAGGACGCATCACCAGTCTGAGACTGAGGCCTGAAGCTCTGTGGAGAGTTGCTGGTTGAGTCCACACTGAGAGGCTGAAGGAGCTGGAGTGTGACATCCACGCACAATGACAGTAGTAAGTGATGAGTGGAATGGAACTTCCCCAATATTGGCTACAGGCTTTCCTCCTCCTGTTCCCCTTTCCTTACAATCAGGCCTTGTCTTGCCCTCAGTTTGCTGCCTGTGACCGTCATCTGTGTAGACACCTCACAGACGCGCTCTGCTCATCTGCTATGTGCTTCTCAATCCTGTCAGGTTGACAATCTCCATCAAAGGTCACAGCGCACCCCTTGTCAATTTGACAGCATAACACCTCTCCTTAAACCCTTCTAGCCTCCAAATAAAGATAACAGCAAGTTCAAAATTCTAACATGATCCAACCATCCTGTATAAAACTAGAAACAGGGCCGGGGATTTAGCTCAGTGGTTCCGGCGCCTGCCTCAAAAGCACAAGGTCCTGAGTTCGATCCCCGGTACCAATAAATAAATAATTAATAAATAAATAAATAAAACTAGAAACACTCTAATTCCTTTCCCAGAATAGGAGGCAAATTTTTTTTGTAACAGACTTCTCCTGAAATTATACAATTTAAATATTATAATGTGGAAATAACAATATTCCAGTGCTGATATTAATTCAATCATAGTATAGTCATACAAGAAAGAAAACAAAGACACCTGCTTCATATATAGCAATGCCTCTGTTCTGTTTGTGAACAGAAACATTCTGCAAAATTTTGCTTCCACTAGTGAACTCTGCATTGGTGACAAACACAAACATGGCCATCTTCCCCAGAATCAAATTAAGTTCGTGAACTGAGGTACCAGTGCGTGCATATGTAAGCACAGCATATTAACAAACTGAAAGAGAAATACCCATGAAAATTGCAATTTTTGCCTTTGTAACTGGTCATGTGGTCCTAGCTGGTATTTATAACTGTCTTTTGCATTGTATATTCCTTTGACCTTTAGGAACCACCTCAATGTGTCTTGGTTCTATTCATGAGGAGTGCTTCGATTGACATCTAGATGACCCCCTAGTCCTCACACTCATAGGCGGGGCTTTTGAAAAAAGATGAAATCATAGAGGTGCTGGAGCTGACATTCTGTCAGGAAGGGGGGTCTGGCCAGAAGAGGCAGGCCTCAAGGTTGTGAGCTGGACAGGCGTCTCCCCCTACCTGGCTCCTCCCTTCACTCTCTGCTTCCTGGCCACCATAATGTGAGCAGCTTTCCTCCACCCAGGCCCTTCCACTATCCCTTCATATCTTGTAGCCAGCCAGCTATAGACTAAAAACATAGGCCAAAATATACCTTTCTTCTTTAAGTTGTGGATTTTGGGTATTTGTCCCAGCAATGAGGAAAATGACCAAGACACAGGCTAACCCATAGCTAGAAGAATCTGGACCATTTGCCATTTTGACTAGATTGCATTGTTTTAGTTTCCAGGGACCTTCATAATGGGCCATGGTAATATGAGGCAATGCCCTAATGGACTCCATTGTCGGGGAGCAGTTCAACTTCTTGGTGGTCTGGCTCACTCATCCCTGCCAACACTGTGACTCCCCTTTTAGCAGGCTGGCTCAGAGGCAAAACCAGGGGAAGTCTTAACTTCCATTTCAAAGGAATTGTTGTGCCACCCACAAGATGCATTCTGCCCCCTGGATGTAAGACTTCTAGGCCAGGAGAGCATAAGTCTACGGGAAGAGGAAGTAAAAACTTTCCCAGTGGGTCACTGGGGAACTGGACAGTGGTATTGTTCTCATTTCTACCTCTTGATTCCTACACCCATGGATCCTGGTTATGGGAGAAATAGTACCACATATCGGACATTGATTTGGAGCATATACAGCTTTCTGGAGAACTTTGCTCCAGCCCTGCAAGATATTGTCACCTAGCTGATGCTGTAGCTGCATCTGCACAAGGCCATTCCACTGATCCATCAGTGTAGCTGCTGTGGGTGATGGCCAACATGGTAAGACCACGTCGCACTTCTTTGGCCTTGACTTATGTTCCTTGTTCAGAAGCTATGCTTTGTGGAATACCATGATGGTGGATGAGACATTCTGAAAATCCACAGATGGTAGTTTTGGCGGAAGTGTTACACGCTGGGAAGGCAAGTCCATACCCAGAATAAGTGTTTATTCCAGTAAGGAAAAATGCTGCCCCTTCCACAATAGAAAAAGCCCAATATAATCCACCTGCTACCAGGCCACAGGTTGATCAACCTGGGGAATAGGTCCACACTGGGGGCTCAGGGTTGATCTATGCTGCGGGCAGATTGGCACCAGGTCAGGCTCGGTCAGTGGAAGTCCGTGTGCCTGAGCCAATGTGTCACCTCCATTGCTGCCACCATAGCCATATTGTTGAAAAGCCATTAGGCAAAGATTACGATAGAGGACAGAGCTTAACTGATACCCACAGGTATCTTTAACTCCTTTACACATATTCTGAGATATCTGTTGTAGTCCGGGTTTGAAAGGGATTAGATTTAATACAGGACACATAACTTATAGAATTATTTTATAATTTTCACCCAAAAAGTCAAATGCAGAGGAGTGCAAGAGATCTGTCCCCACACTGGAGACCCAAAGGATCTAGCTGAATGCCTGTATCCCACAGCAGTATCCCACACAAGTTCAGCTAAAGGCCTAGAGCCCATGGCTATGTCTCATGCAAGTCTGTATCGAGGATCTGCACTGCGAAGGGCTAAAGGCCAGTAGTGGAAGCTAGAAGGTCTGAGCTGATGAGGTGAAGGATCTGTGTCACCAGGCTGAGGGATCTGCACTGGAGCCAGGAAGTGATGCTCAAGGGGAAGATCAGAGCTCCTCTGAAGAGAACAGCAGCCATTCCCAGTGACAGGGAGGACACGAGCTCCTCTGATGGTGCGAACAGCCAAGTTTATATCAGGAAAACTAGCCATGGCAAGCTTCTCCAAGAAAATCAACAGCACACAATCTTCCCCTCCAGTTCTCCTTTTATGCCATTGGCAGTGATTCTCAGGTGGGTCTTCCTCGCCCAGAACCACGCTGACTCAGTTCAGCTGGGTGTTCTAAGTTGACCATTAGTTAATCTACTACAATATCCCTTCCCCAAATGTCTTTGTTACCAATTTTCCAATCATATTCCTTCTAAGTCTCAGACCATCCAGCTGGCACATTGGTTAGCCCATGAATAGGTATATAGTCACACACCTGGCCATTTTTACTTCCAAGCAAAATGTACAACCAACTGCACAGCTCACAGTCTGGGCAATCTGAAGGTTTCCCTTCACCACTGTCCTTCAGGAATGACCTGCAAAGGGCTGTAGTGCTGCAGCTGTCCACTATCAGGTGGGGCTGTGTAACGTGCAGAACCATCTGTAAGCCAGGACCTGTTTCTTTTCCTTCGTCAACTGATCATAAGGTACTGTGCTGTGAAGCCACAGATACATGTCAGGGACAGAAAGTGGTATAGCAAGAGGAGGAATTGTGAGCACTCGCACCATTTGTACATGCAACTTCTTGTGACTTTGGGATCTGCTCAGCCGGATCACATACACAGCACACCCACTTGATGATGGGCTGTGGCTGTGCAGGTTCAGTTTTAGTGCTTCAGTGGTCAGATGACCTCACGGTGGGGGGGGCAGCTCAATTTGCACATTGACTTTGTGTTCCTTCCACTAAAGGCCAGCAGGAGCCCAGAAGCTCTTTCTCAAATGGAGAGTCATTATCTAAAATGCTAAGGGCCTCTGATGGGATTCCACAGTGGGGACCTGATGGAGCCTCCCAACAACGTTCCTGTCTGCTGGTATCAGATCTCCTGGGTCATGTGGCCCAAGTGGCAGAGCAGCCTGGACTCACTGTGGATGCAGCTAAATTATCCTTCCCCTGAGAGGGGCTGTCTCAGAATGCCTACGGCGCTGGACTCCAAGGAATTTCACTGAGGGAGAGGGCCCTTGAATTTTAGTTGGATTTATTTCTCATCCTCTGATGCACAAATGCTTTACCAAGTCCAGAGAAATTGTTCCTACGTGAAGACACAAGGCTTTGTCAAATCCATCCCTCTCCAATTACAACGACTGTTGCCTAGCAACAACCATCACCATGGCACTGCCGTGTTAATTATTATTATTTTAAATGTTTCTTCTGGGTTGGGGTGGACCAACTGTGAGGAGGCCTTTAGGCAGAATCGAAACTGGGAGGTAGCTGAGTGAGGTTCATTCTGTTCTAAAATTCCAACTGATGCATTCTGGGTTTTTTACAATTATTTTGAGGGTGTAGGTGGTAAATAATAATTTTTGTCCTTTCTACTGACAGATCTACCTCCTAGAAAGCTCTTGGAAGGAACAGGAGACATGTAACTAGAATTCTGAAATCTCAGTTAAAGGAACAGAGAGACTGTGTGCTTCCGGAACAATGGTGGTTGCCATGGTAATGCTGTTTCTGGGTGGATAAAGCTGGCTGGCGGGTGCTCATCAATGCCCACTTGGAGGAATGTATTTACTGGCACAGGCAGAGAGGTCTGCACAGGTTGCAGTCCCCACCACAAACATAGCCACTACATCGAGAGAGGACACATCCCAGTGAGAACATGCTGCTCTGAGCCTTCAACCCAGCTGTGTTCATCCAGAGGCAGTGGTATGAGATCTGGGAAAAGCTGCTTAGAGAGGGAATGGAATTTTCTCTATGGCCCTTTGGGGCTTGGTCAGTCCTGGCCCCCGAGTCTAGCTGGCTATCGGATGGCCATCTGCAGGCACAGATGCTCACTGCTGCCCTTCATGTCTCTGCCCAGTGCACCTGCAGCTGCCCCAGGGCAGGGCTGTGTCCTGTTCCTGTGCTCTGTCCTGCAGGCCTGGCATGGACCTGTGCTTCCTGTGTTGCCCTGAGAACAACAAGGGCCAGGCAGGAGGGCAGCTGATGCCAATGCCACTGGTAGCAGTGCTCTTGTGCTGAACCCTGCTCACAGTCTCTGCAGTGTTCACACTGTGCTCACACTCAGTACACACTGCTCTCGTGAGCTCATCTCAGCTGTCTAGGATTTATCTGCACACATTTTCCTTCCCCGGATCCCTCAGGTGACAGTTAGTGTACCGGGGAGAGGAGTGCACTGTCCTGGCCTTGGTGCTGGTTTGCAAGGAGCCTCTTGTGACTGGGCAGGATGACAGTCCAGGGTGCGCCCTGGCCTCCCTGGGAGCTGAGGGTGATCAGAGTTTGACGTCACTCAGAGGAGCACAGAAGATGATTCTGTCCTTATCAAGGGATTAAATGGCTACTTTGACTTAGGGCTTGGCATCTGGGTTTTACTGGGAGTACTGGACTGTTTTTCCCTGAACTATTTGGGAATTCATTGTATGTAACAGCTAAGGTGGCTGTCAGCTAATGTTTTTTC